ATTTGGACAAATTATCATTTGGCCAAATTTTACTTGGCAAATGTTTATATAGCAAATGTTTTATTTTGCCAAATATTATATCCCAAATAATTTGTTTGGTCAAATCGACACTTCACATACTTACCCACAAATCAAACCATAAGGCAGAGGCAGATGATCATGGTTTTCTCAAGAATGTTATGTTAAACAAAGAGATTGCAGAAAATAGTATGGTTGCAGAAAGTAGGTATTGCAGAAAATAGTAGGTTAGGTTAGGTTAGAACAGTGACCCTTAACGCGCGAAGGCGAGCGAAGCGTGCCGCGGCAGCGGCCGCCGAGCGCTAGAATCACCTCTATTGTTAATGAATCATTTGGAAATTTCGATAAAAAGAATGAAATATGAAAAATTAATATAGAACAAATTTTAAATTAACTACCCACTAAACAAAATAATAACCACTTGTTAATTTGTACTCCATTCTATGCACCAATCAAATTATTTTGTAAATAGTGTATCGTGAAATATTTTTGCCAAATAAAACATTTGCCAAAACATACTTTGCCAAACAATAATTTGCTAAACAATAATATGCCAAAAACGGCATTTGCGAATTAAAAGTTTGCTATAAGTTGTTTTGCCAAATGAGAATTTGCCAAATGAAAATTTGCGTAACGTTGTTTGCGATGTGATAATTTGGGAAACGTTTTTTGGCCAAACATTAGTAATCCGTTAATTTTACATCAGAATAACATGTGGACTGTAATTTAAAACGATATTGAGTTAATTGGCCAAATAATAATAAAACAGCGAGCCAAAGCTAGTGAAGTGTCTTTTAAACTAGGTACCGAACGTTTTTATTTGGTTTCAGGGGTCACTGGTATGAGCATACGTACAAAAACCGTACGTTGCACCTGTTTACCAAAACACAAATAAGGTGCCAGTGTGTTGTCTGTGTGGAATGGGGAGAGAAAAAATTGCGAAATGCAAAAATGAACAACCAGCAAAAAAAATCATACAACAATTTTAATTTCTTAAAAGCACAATTGTTTTTGGAATTCGCTGGCACGAACAGGAGAACAGAAACGCTATATAAAGAATCTTGTAGCTGCCTCACTGCATTCAGTGATCAACCAAACACCAAAGAACATTACGAACTTTTTCAAGATTTTAAAGAGGCAATAGAATATTTGCAATGTATAGCTACCAACAATAAAACGCTTTTGGAACCATTTCGTTACCCTGGAACCTACATTTAACTAGTATCCAATTATCGCTTTGTGAAGCGAAATCGATGTCATGCATTAAGATATTCTTATTTATCAACGAATTTTATATAATTTTACATAACACGAATTTTATAATATAACAGTTAGTTGTCAAAGCAACTTGTTAAATATTAACTAAATATTGTCTTATTATTAATTTTATTTTATGAAATAAATATTGAGAAAATTAATTGTGCTTAATTTTTTTTTGATAATATTACTTTTGCGATTTAACTTTGATATTATAGTGTCAAAATAAGTGATGTGCGGCGGGGGTGACCCTTGGACCGCATCAATACAAAATGTTCATACGTGATGCGGGCTGAGTTCACTTTGATTGACCTGACCGCGGACCGCAACCAGTTTGACAAAAACTAACCTTTTAACAGTCAAAATAATCAAATTCATTGTTTTTGGACAATAAGAGCGAGTAAGCTTCAAAATAAGGTGGGAAGTATATTCCCACTTCGGTATAAAGTTTAAGGGATATCTCCCCTCTGACCTGGTGTAGCTTGAGAGCCATGGGGATGGCAGGCGCGAGCGAATAAGGTACAAAATATGGTGGGAATATATTCCCACTTCCGTATAAAGTTTAAGGGGTATCTCCCCACTGACCTGGTGTAGCTTGAGAGATATGGGGATGGCAGGCGCGAGCGAATAGGTTCAAAATATGGTGGGAAATATATTCCCACTTCCGTATAAAGGTTAAGGAGTGTCTCCCCACTAACCTGGTGCAGTTTAAGAGCCATGCGGATGGCGGGCGCCAGCACGGAGTGAAGCAGCGACATGTCGGTGAACACCCACTCGTCGCGCGCGCACGTGATGCGGAAGTCGCCTTTGAACAGCGAGTGCAGCCCGTAAAGGAAAAACTCGACGCTGCAAAGAATAGCAAAAAAGTAGTAGGTATGAAAAAACAATAGTCAAAGGACGATGGTGAGAACATAATCTATACTAATATTATAAATGCGAAAGTAACTCTCTCTGCCTGTCTGTCTGTCTTACTTTCACGCCTAAACCACAGAACCGATTTTGATGAAATTTGGCATAGAGATAGTTTAAGTTCCAGGAAAGGACATAGGATAGTTTTTATCCCGGTTTTTGAAACAGGGACGCGCGCGATAATTTTTTTCTGTAGCAGACAAAATTCCACGCGGGCGAAGCCGCGAGCGGAAAGCTAGTCCCTCCATATGTCAATTTTGACCATCAATGTCCAAAATTTTATTGAAACATGCCGTCGTTTTATTGTCGTATAGCTTTACAGGGTGGAAACTGGAAACATTGAATTTTCGGATAGATCCAGTTTATTCTGTAACAGGAGTTGCAGCGGCGGGAACGCGGTGGAAACTTGGGTAGAATCCCGTACCATCGGCAACAGTGTTAACTATCCATTGCCTATCATGTCGTCTCGTTCTATCGCAAAGAATCACCATTTGATGAGAGCGAGAGCAAAAACGGAAATGGATAGCTTTAAGTGCTTGTTCACGTAGGCACGCGAGGGCGCGGGCGCGGGAAACGTCGTCGTCGAGCTCGTGTTCACATTGACGACCAGGCGTTCGCGCGAGTGTGACGTACTATCGTTTCTAGCGACAAGTTCAAACTGGTTGAACTTACCTGACGTCGCGAGTGAAACGCGCGCGCCGCCGCTAGTTTGACATGAACACTCACAAACATCTTCACCCGTTGAAATTACCGCGAGCGCTCCGCGCGCACCAGTCGCTAGCTTGCCCGCTAGTTAGACCGCACCTGCGTTTCGTACGTGAACACTTGGAATCACTACATATGTTTGATATTTCGTCACCACGCCCGCGAGTCAACGTGAACAAGCACTAACAGTGTGGCCGGGTGTACCTGGAGCGCGAAGCACAGCGTGACCAGCGCCGAGTCCTCGCGGGCGCCGGTGCAGGTCCCGCTACACACAGCTGCGGAGCGGTAAGGTACCTGGAGGCGGACAGGTGCTGCGCGGCGGCCAGCGCGCGGCGGCCGAGCAGGCTGAGCGCGAAGCACAGCGTGACCAGCGCCGAGTCCTCGCGGGCGCCGGTGCAGGTCCACACACAGCTGCGGAGCGGTAAGGTACCTGGAGGCAGACAGGTGCTGCGCGGCGGCCAGCGCGCGGCGGCCGAGCAGGCTGAGCGCGAAGCACAGCGTGACCAGCGCCGAGTCCTCGCGGGCGCCGGTGCAGGTCCACACACAGCTGCGGAGCGGTAAGGTACCTGGAGGCAGACAGGTGCTGCGCGGCGGCCAGCGCGCGGCGGCCGAGCAGGCTGAGCGCGAAGCACAGCGTGACCAGCGCCGAGTCCTCGCGGGCGCCGGTGCAGGTCCACACACAGCTGCGGAGCGGTAAGGTACCTGGAGGCAGACAGGTGCTGCGCGGCGGCCAGCGCGCGGCGGCCGAGCAGGCTGAGCGCGAAGCACAGCGTGACCAGCGCCGAGTCCTCGCGGGCGCCGGTGCAGGTCCACACACAGCTGCGGAGCGGTAAGGTACCTGGAGGCAGACAGGTGCTGCGCGGCGGCCAGCGCGCGGCGGCCGAGCAGGCTGAGCGCGAAGCACAGCGTGACCAGCGCCGAGTCCTCGCGGGCGCCGGTGCAGGTCCACACACAGCTGCGGAGCGGTAAGGTACCTGGAGGCAGACAGGTGCTGCGCGGCGGCCAGCGCGCGGCGGCCGAGCAGGCTGAGCGCGAAGCACAGCGTGACCAGCGCCGAGTCCTTGGCGGCCGCGCGGCGCCGCCAGCCCGCGCCGCGTCGAACGCCGCAATGGACTATCCACTCTTGGTATATCGCGCAGAATCTCCCCCTGGAGTGATCGAAAAAATGAGCATTTTAAGGGACTTCTTAGGGGTCATCCATAAAGTACGTCACACGTAAAGGGGGGGAGGGGGTCGACAAAGTGTGACATGGTGTGACAAGGGGTGAGAGGGGTCCTAAGTTTTGTGACATCACATTTCAATTGTTTCAAATAATTGATATAATGTTGATTTCATAAAAAAAGTACTTGATTTAAATGGAAATAAAATTGATGTGAAATTGCAAAACATGTGACGTCACACTAGGGAGGGGGGGGGGGGGCCTAGAAATGTGACCACCTGTGACAAGGACGGGACCACCTGTGTCAAAAAATCATGAAATTTGTGTGACGTACTTTATGGATGGCCCCTTAGCGGGAAGTTAAGAAGACCGCTCAATAATGGTGGATATTAACCATTAAATGTCGACGAGTATTGATAACAACAACGAGACGAGTATTTTTAAGAGCGAAAACGCGACTAAAAACCTATACACACAACGCGGCAACATTTTCAAGCGCGCCGTCGACGCTAGTTTGTAACGTTACAAACGTGATACACACGAAAGTTGGACCATTTGTAAAAAAAAAAATGTGGTGCACATAGGCCATTATAATTACACAATATCGTAACGTTCTATTACAATCGAACAATCAAAGTGTGGTTAAATCACTCGTTCAGGTGCGGTAACATTAAATCTCTGGAGGACAGGAAACGATTTCAGAGAAAAAAAAACACTAATTTTCAACTTAGCTAGCAGCATGATCTAATCTGATTTTTTTTGTCACAAACTGTCCCATTATATTCATATTTTAAAATCTTAAAATAATCCTAATACAAAATCTAAAATTACCTAGTAATCCCCGACGCCCGAAAGTCATAATCTTCATCGAGGTTGACGTTGAATATCGGGTCTAGGTCCACGAAGGCGCGCTCGTTCATAGGCTTCAGCGCTTCTGAGAGCACCGGCGACGCCAGCCACTCTTCCAGCTTGCTCGACTGGATCGTGTAGTAGATGATGCTCTGAGAAGTAATGAAAAGGTATATTGTATGCTGCTTCTGGAGAATAAAATTAAGGACGGACGAAATTAGACATGTTGAACATGTGTCACGAAAAAGTTATACATTTGCTTATTTTTTGCTATGTAATACATATCCTTTTTTGGGTCATTACGTGTATGATGAAATAACGAAAGAAAAAAACTGGCCACATTATAGTATACATATTTTCTTAGTGACGACACAAAGCGTCGTAATATTCTCTTTTATACATTTTGACGTGCAGCACAATGTTAGTCCAACTAACCCTTTCTCACAGGGCGTCATGTCTGTCAATTCCTTTGTGTTCCAGCAGAATGGTATCTTCGGAATTCTTAACCGCTGGCTATCATACCGCCAGTTCCTCTGTAGTTGAGAATTCAGGATGAAACTTGCGTTCATCTTTGGCCAGATCATCACTTTTCTCATTTTGGATTAAAAAAAATGGTGTATTTACAAATGAAGTTTGTGAAAATACAAATACTCATGTATTATTCGAGTAAATGAGGGAACGCTTTTAATAAAATAAGCACTAAAATGGGATTGAAATGAGGGTTCACACTCGCCAGTTAGCGCCACTGTAGATAAAGGTCCTAGTGTCACTCGCTAGTGGCGCCAACTAAGTATAAAGAAATCAAACATTCAAGTTCTATTCCCGCTCACCTTGACGTAGTACGTGAGCAGCACCTTCCTGAAGTCGAAGACCTGCAGCATGGAGACGGCGCTGTTGTCGCTGACGCTGTATCCTTCCAGCACGTAGCGCGCGCTGGCCAGCTGCCACGCCAGCCAGCGCAGCGCCCGCCGCACCACTCATCAAGTCCTGGCCCGCTCACCTTGACGTAGTACGTGAGCAGCACCTTCCTGAAGTCGAAGACCTGCAGCATGGAGACGGCGCTGTTGTCGCTGACGCTGTATCCTTCCAGCACGTAGCGCGCGCTGGCCAGCTGCCACGCCAGCCAGCGCAGCGCCCACGCCGCGCCCGGGGCAAGGACGCGACCGCCGCACCACCATAGACCGGTGCATACGCCCTCTGGGGGACACGCCCACAAGTTAAAATGAGAGGAAAAGCACTCAACTACGAACGGACTTAACCCATCAAGTTAATAGAGGGCTACGGATGCTACTAGCACGGTAAATAGAGATGGGGCTCGAATACGACACCTGTTGTACATTACACAAGTACTCTGTTAGTTTGCTAAGGCCCAAGTTTTTTGATCCGTAGTTAAAGTAACCAATAGTCAAATTTAACAGATGTCAAATGAGAAGTAGTTAAATATTTTAAAAAATGTTTTTCGTACAATGGTTAACTTGACTTTTCGTACATTTTTTAACTATTAGTCTGGGTTGCACCATCGTACTTTAACTTTGAAAAACGTCAAAAATCTGTCAAATTCCATACAAAAAGCACCGGTTATCGTCATAGTTACGGTCAAAGTTAGGTGGTGCAACTCAGCCTTAGTTTATATTTTGTTAATATTGTACCATTAGTAGCAAAATGTAACAATTACTTATTTTAACTATGAATCAAAATACTGGGCCTAAGCCGCACTACCACAGGCCTGTGCACAAGTCCTCTTGGACAAAAGACACGCTCACAAGGTAAAATAAGAGCCGACGAAATACTCAACTTATTATGTAGACCACAAGTACTAATTTGCTGCGACACACCCATCAAGCTTTGAAGAGCAACGGGACTCTAACTCGACATATATTCTGTAGTAAATATAGTATATTCTGTAGTAATTATGTAGTAAGTATGTTTCCCAAAAAAAAAAAAAATAAACAAATTATTTCTTTGCCAAAGGTCCGTGCATACGCCCTCTGGGGAATACACGCCCATAAATTAAAATAAGAGCCAATACGACACTTATTCTATAGATTACAATGACACTCCTACCAAGCTTATAAGAGAGCAACAGGACTCAAACACAATACATTTTACTAGGTTGCACACAGGAACAAATTCTCTAAAATACGTCTGGAATATACGTCCACCAAGATAATAAGATAGCAACGAGCTAGCTCTTATAGGAAAAAATAAACTCTTATAGGATAAGAGTGTGCCTCTTGTAATAACCCCTAGTGAGGTGAAGTCTTACATAAACCATATATGCCTTGTTTAAAGTCGCATTACAAGTAAATATAACATGAACATATTTCTACACCATCTCCAAGCTACTTCTAAAAACAGGCTCGTTTTTAAATATAGGTAACCAATGACTAGTAGCTCATGTTATGACAAAAGTTGCCCAGCAAGCGAAAGGTAATCTAACACAGAATACCGAAAGGTAATTAGGAAAAGCTAATAATTTTCCGAATAGGTAACTTACCGCTGCTCTCCTCAGGTCCCTCCGAGATGGCCTCGACCTCTCGCTGCTGGCAGTACGTGCCTCGGAACTCGAGGCCGCGCAGCTGGAACGACACCAGCCCGTTGCCCATCTCCACGATGTGCACGAGGCAGTTCAAGTAGTCCGACGCCAGAACTGCAAGCCAAATACAAAGGTACAGTCAGTTACGTAACAGCTGAAATATTTAAAAAAATAACATAATAAGTACTCCATTTTAACAAAATTAAACACATAATTTATATTGTACTAGCTTTCCGCCCGCGGCTTCGCCCGAGTGGAATTTTGTCTGTTACAGAAAAACTTTATCGTCCCTGTTTCAAAAACCGGGAAAAAAACTATCATATATGTCCTTTCCCAAACTATACCTATGCCAAATTTCATTAAAATCGGTTCAGTGGTTTAGGCGTGAAAGAGAGGCAGGCAGACAGACAGACAGAGTTACTTTTGCATTTATAATATTAGTATAGATAAAAGCGAAAGGTCACTGACCGATTCACTGATCACGAAATCACAGAAACCACAAGTGCTAGGAGTCTCAAAAGACAATGCCGGAAATTGGCGTCTTTTTTTTTCGCGCGGCCATCGACCAAACCTTGTTTTTTGATTACAAAATAGTGTAATAAACCAAACTTACTATGACATGTATACCTCTAAACTCAGTCTGAACTGAGTTACGAGCATTAGAAGTTTGATGATTTTCATACTAGATTTGCTTTTTGCGCGCAAGTTTTGTAAGAAATTGCAACAAAATAGTGACATTGTATGTGTAAACAAACAATACCATCCATTAAAGGCTCCAGACATCAGTATGCAGCAGAATCAGCGCAATAAAAAAATTGCACAATATTTTGTTGCAATTTCTTACAAAACTTGCGCGCAAAAAGCAAATCTAGTATGAAAATCATCAAACTTCTAATGCTCGTAACTCAGCTCAGATCAGACTGAGTTTAGAGGTATACATGCCATAGTAAGTTTGGTTTATTAAACTATTTTGTAATCAAAAAATAAAGTTTGGTCGATGGCCGCGCGAAAAAAAAAAGACGCCACCTTCCATACAAAATCTGGCATTGCCATTTGCATGGGGGTTCCTTTTACAACATAGGTGCTCACTGAGACGGGATATTGCAAAATTCAACTCCTAAGGGGGTAAAACGGGGTCTAAGTGTACGAAGTCGCGAACCGCTAGTAATTTAGATTGTTTCAATCAGTCTGAACAGCAGTGAAAACCATCATTTTAAAAAAACGGATCGGGCCATTTGCTCGGGTTCCACACGCAAAGCTTTTCGTAGATGGCGTCTGGATCGCTCTTTAAGTGTCAAGCCTTTTGTATTTTTTAGACAATGGTTTGTTCAGTTTTTCACCATCAGACATTCGTCCAATCCACCATTACATATTTGTCACCAATCAACTTGCTTAACCACTACAGCATCATCTAACGTCCTATAGAACTTTTCTGTAATATAAAGAAGACTTACCAAAGCAGTCTCCCTGTTGGACCTGCCCCCACCGACCAAGCATCAAATCGCCGCACAGGTAGTGTTGTAGTGACCGGGTCAGATGTTCGTAGAATATCGAATTCAGGTTGTTATCATCTGCAGAAAGTAATGTACAGGTTACATGCTACTTTTCTTCTTCTTAGGCTAGGCGCAGAGCACCAACTTTTAATTGGCCGATAGTTGGGTCGGGCTGTTAATCAGTATGGAGATGTATGAAAGTGCGCACATTACACCGATTTGTTTTCGGCCGATTCTCCATACGAATTAAAATCGGGTCCAACTATCGGCCGACTAAAAGTTGGTGGTCTGCGCCTAGGCTTATTGGAAGTGTAAGTAAATAGCTTTCTTACTTTTTATTCTGTCTATGGCTGTCGCTAATAACTTTATTTCGTTGTTGAGAGAATCAAATTACAAAGTTCTGTTGTCTTAAAAAAGGGGCTGTTGGCTTAACGTCACATGGCGGTATAGATGTCCAACATTGAACCGTCCCAGCGATGATATTGTAAGGAGGGCGCTACTATCAGTACTAGATTATTAGTTTTCGATTTTTGCCACTTGACGTTTCACATTCGTGGGACTATATTTCCATATCCACTAAAATTAAATGGAGAAACACCGTTATAAAAGATCACGAAATGAGTTATTCCACTTATCCTGATTGAAACAAGGTTTAATGCCCATCATCTTTGTTGGTGTACACACGCCCACACTGTTAACTATCCATTTCCGTTTTTGCTCTCGCTCTAATCAAATGGCGATTTTTTGCGATAGAACGAGATGACATGACTTTCAATGGGCAGTTAACACTGTTGGCGATAGTACCTAATAAATAAATAAATCATTATTCGACTCACCGGATCCGAGATTGCGTTCGAGCTGCGACGACAGCCTGGTGTTGCTCTGGTCCACCCTCTTGGTGTTGTAGTCGCGTTCCCAGAACTTCACCGGGCGCACGTATGACGTCATGAATATCGCGCTCCCTGCCGAATATCAGAACATTGATAAATTACGGTCACTCCTAATCGGTAAGCAATTAAAGGTGCAATAATAATGACAATATTGAGGAAAGCAGTGGCTGAAAAACTCATTAGATCTCTTCGATATCAGCGAATCCAGTTTGCCTGAAATACCATTGCCAATGGTTGCATTGAGGCCATTAACCCTTTGGGCGGAGCTAGTCAAAACTACACTGTTTTCGGACCTTAAAAGACAAGGGTATAGGGTTAAAAATATTGTGGGAATTATATTCCCACTACATAGGGTAGTTGGAATTACGGATTATAATTCGAACTACATAAGGTAGTGGGAATATATTAACCACTTCATAAGTAAGTGGGAATATAATTCCCACTTCATAAGGTAATGGTAATTGTATTACCACTACTCTGTGTAGTGAGAATTATTTTTCCACCATATTTTTAAATTCCCACTACATTTGGCAGTGGGAATATATTGCCCACTACATAGGGTAGTGGGAATATAATTCCAACTACATAAGGTAGTGGGAAGTAATTCCCACTTCATAAGGTAATGGGAATTGTATTAATTTACCACTACTCTGTGTAGTGAGAATTATCTTCCCACCATATTATTAAGTCCCCTGTGTAGTGGGAATCATATTCCCACTACATAAGTTAGTGGGAATATATTTCCCACTTGACATAAAATTAGAAAAAAACAATTACCCAGCGCGGGCGTGAGAGGCGAGGACAGCAGCGCCGAGAGCGCCGCCTGCAGGAACAGCATAGCGGAGTGCGGCACGGAGAAGGGCTGCGCGAACGCGTGGAACGCGCTGCCCCACGTGATCTGCCACGGCGCGATGTACGTCACCACGAACTGGATCTATAACGGCATTTCGTAGCGTTCGTTTAGCGTATGTAAAGCCTGGTCCGTGAGCACGTAGAATCCCGTCCAATGACCCCAAGCTACCCATCCCTATCGCTCGCGCGTAATTATGTTGCTGTCGCGACTGTGCGACGGGCGCCCGCAGTGAGTGTGCGAGCGCGACAGCAACATAATTACGGACGTACACTTTAAACAATCTTCGCCGATTTTATGACAGTTTTTTTTTATAAAAGTCGAAACTATACAGATTTTGCATTTATTATAATTTTTAAACCATTAATTAATACTTGCACAAACCTTGAGTAAGAATTCGTAGACTTTGCTGAAGATAATGGCGGTAATGAAATAGTCCACGAGGAACGTTTCCGATACGTTTCGACTGCTCAGGTCTCTTTGGAAGAGCAGGAAAGCGAACACCAGGATGAGGTACTGGGAATCGGGCTCTGAGTAAGCGTTCCTGAGACCTGGAATAGACATAGAATTAATAAACTGGGAACATTATGACAATAATAAACCCGTCTTTTTGTTCTAAATCGTATGGAGTGGCTGTTTTGGCAGCAATAGTTTTTATACTTTTAAATTGCATACCCACTGGCCCGGAAGAATCAGTGGGTAATGTGAGGTTCTCCCTGCCCAAGGGCCTACTCACTAAAACCTGACGGTGTCCTTCAGCTTTTGGAACGGAACTACGAGTTATTAACCGAGCTAAACGGCTTAGAAATTATTTCGCGGCTCCGCCCCAGACTAGTTTTTATACCTAGTATAAGTGACATAAATAAAAACGGCACTCAACCGTAAGATTGTAATTCTCATTAGATTTTTTTGGTTATGGAGATTCTTGGCACTGGTCATTCTCGGCTTGATATTTTACTACTTATGCCCGTTTTCACCATCAATCCCTAATTTGTTTTCATAGGGGATGGAGACTGGTAGTTCAGGGCCAGGTGGAAGGCAAGAGAGCACGCGGTCGATCGCCAACCCGCTGGATAGACGCTATCACAAAGGCCACTGAGTCCACCATGGTCCAGTGTACTCGCGACGCGTCTAACCGTCAGAAATGGAAGCACATCGCCAGGAGAGCTACCCTCGGAGATGACATCACCCCACCATGTACCTCGTCAGCGTAACCACGACCACTCTGACAAGAGTGCCCGACTAAGAACCCCTCGTCACTTAAAATAGACAGTTTGACACCATACCCCAATAATTCGAAACCACAACTTTTTTAAAAAGACCCTTTATTCTGGTCTTAAAAACTTAATTATATTTAAATTACCTGTAAATTACGATTTTTGTTCGCATTGTAATTGAAATAAGTAGTTTGATTGAGTTGACAAAATAGTGACGTCACTTGCTTGTAGTGCCATACAAAATCTATGGGAGAGTTTCGTTTTGACAGTTTTAAAAAGTACGTCAATTGATTGGTGGTGTCAACATGTGTATTAAGGATCGATGGTGAAAACGGGCATAAGTCGTAAAAAATCAAGCCGAGAAAAAAAATCTATAATTTAATATAATTTTAAATTAATTCTATAAATCTTTAATCTCTTATTTATTTTACGTAATATTTGGTGTATATCACTCACATTTCAAAGCGCACACGCATATAATGAGCGCGCCCACGGCGTCACCATACTTGGCGGCGATGGCCGGCGCGTCTTGCGTTGTGGCCGCAATCACCACGCCCGGGTACAACACGTTGCGCTCCAGGAAACACAGGTACACGAATATCTGGAAAGGATTTTGTATGTTAGGGCTCTGTGCAGCCGACCGAAGAAAGGGAACTTAAGTTGTGCAGTACCATATTTATAGCTTAAGCCTAAGCGCAGACCATCGATTTTTCGTCGGCCGATAGTTTAGTCGGGCAGTTGATCAGTATGGGCATTTATGGAAATGCGCACATTACACCGATTCGATTTTGTATACCCATTCTTATAAGATACACCATACAAGAATGCGTGGTAAATTCAGTGAACTGCTCCTGAATCCAAAGTACCTACTACTGCTTTTTCTATTTATTTATATTAACCGGCAAACAGTGGTTACTGAGTTTGTTGCGGCGCTTCTTCTCAGCACTTGCCAAATGTTGGTCTCGAAGCGCTGGTAGGGTGAAAAGATTATGAGACATGTAGAGGCTCCTTAAGAGCAAAATGACGATTTGTAAGAACTATTTATTAGTCTAAACAAATAAAGAAACTTTGACTTTGACTTTGAACGATTCAATTACATGCCGATACAACTAAAAATCGGTGGTCTGCGCCTAGTCTTAGTGTCAAGTATCGTCGTGTTTATGCCTGGTGTTACACAAGATTGTGATAGTGAGTATACTGTCTCTTTAGTTATTATATCGTGTAATGTGTGTAACACCTGTGTCGAGTAACGGGACTATTCTCACCTCTCGTCCTCACCGCCGCAACTCGTATGTAGCCAGATTTATAGCTTGACCGCCAGTAAAACCCCAACTAGTGAAGGTCAAGTTTGTCCCTGTGTCGAGTAGTCAATATATGGGGCTATTGTGTCGAATAGTGTGGTGGTTATGGCTCATGTTTTGGCTGCCATCGTTTCGAGTAGTTTACGACACCTCCGTCGTGTAGTGTCTCCGTTTCCCGTTACGGGCAGTGTGGCTCTTGATTCGATTGTCCTCGGCTACGGCTCGAATAAAGAATTTGTAAAGACTCAGGCATTGCGGTGGAGTGCAATCTGCCCTACGCAGCCGCAATTCCGCGTGCATCTTTCAAGATTCGGCCACAATAACCGCGAGAATCTGAGACGTGGTCGCTTACTATAGACCTCATAAGAAGGCTCAAGGTCACCCAAAGGGCGATGGAGCGTGCTATGCTTGGAGTTTCCCTGCGTGATCGAATCAGAAATGAGAGATCCGTAGGAGAACCAGAGTGACTGACATAGCCCGCAGAATCGCTAAAATCAAGTGGCAGTGGGCAGGGCACATAGCTCGTAGAGCTGACGGCCGCTGGGGCAGGAGAGTTCTTGAGTGGCGACCACGAGCCGGAAGACGCGGGAGGCGCCTGGATGCGAGCGGCGCAGGACCGGTCTTTGTGGAAATCCTTGGGGGAGGCTTTTGTCCAGCAGTGGACGTCTTTCGGCTGAAACGAACGAACCGCGAGGTTGGTATGGCCATGGGTGGTGGTGGGATATGTCCCCGGCTGATATGTCCCATAGTGTTGGGCACGTACCCGCTCGAAGCACATGAGGCGCGCGGGCTCGGTGACCTCGAACTGCGCGTGCTCGTGCTGGCGCAGCACGGGCCCGGCCAGGCACAGCCAGGGCTGCTGCTTGCGCAGCTGCGGCGTCAGGTAGTGCAGCACCCAGCCGAGGATGCCCGCTATTATCCAAAGAACCTGGGCACGACATGAGCGAAATTGACATTTTGTGTAGATTTACGCCCGTATTCACAAACGATGCTTGCTTAATTGAAGTAGCAAATGGAACGCACAGCGTTGAATAGAGCTCAGTGATTGGTTCATGTGTCACCCTGTGCGTCCACGCGCACTGTGAGACCTCACAGTAATGTTTGTGAATACGGGCGTTAGACTCGGTTCAGACCAGTGCGGCCACCGCGCGGTTTCTGGGTGGTTCTCATTGGCGATGCACTGTGGCGGTAACCGTGTGGTTACGGATTGATGTAAAATGTACGAAAACTGCCCAGCAACCGCGCGATTATCGCTGTGTCTGTTCCAGGCCTTATAGAACTTTCTGAATAAAAATAAAAACACGGATATTAGACACTAAACCTGATCCAACTGCCTTACTTCTACCAAGACTTTTTTAATCAGCCTTAAAACTACTTTTATTGCGTATTTATTATACATATTTGTATAATAAATGTGATATATTTTTCTCATACATAAAACCAGAAACGTGGAGTTAAAGTTACATTCTCATTGTCTTTCGCAGAATGAAGAATTGAAGAGTTTGTGCTAGAATATAAGTAGGAGAATAAAAATATAACTCACCATATTAAGTTGCGGTCTAAGCGTCGTGAACACAGTCGTGCAGTGCAGTCCAAACACGAACAGTCCAAGAAAAGTGCAAACTATGACGTCATTCTTTAGACGAGCATTCACGGTTGCTTGCAACTTCTTTGGCAGTGGATCCTCCATGTCTTCATCAGGTTTGTCAGCGGGATCTTTATTACTCGAGTTGTTGGTGTTAGAATCTCGGCTTTTCTCTTCTGTTTCTGTAGGAGGGTCAACCTTCAATGACGTAGTCGAGTTCATAGTGTCCCCTGCGCGAGGGTCCATCTTCAGTGAGCTAACGCTCGACGTCTGAGAACGCTTCTGCGTCTTCGCTATATTAGTCTCAGAGCTAAAGTTAATCTTGGACGCCGAGCTCCCAATAGAATTGTGTTTAGAAATGTTACTCTCTGAATTGTTCTTCTTATCGTCACTCAACGTGTTCGGCTCGTCTTTATTCATCTCAGGAGCACATTCAGGAGTATGCATCACATATAATTCCGGGGGCAGTAAGTGCTTTTTGATTAGGTTCCAGATTAAACTGTAGTCACTTGCGCTTCGACTCAGGTGATATGCAATCGGGACGAGAAGCCCACAAAATATGGAAAAGAGTATATTGTGCTTCTGATGTTGCGACTTCTTGCCTTCAACTAGCCCGCTGTAAGCGAACCCGTATAGCACTCCTATAGCAGCCAGAGATCGCACGACGCAATATACTGCCGCACTTAAACTGCTCGTAGCGTTTCCACCGAATACATGCATGTCGATCTGTTCCAACAAATACATAAGAAATGTATTCACTTGCGGGAAGAAACCGAAACTGAATGCCAATGGAAAAAACAGCAGAAATATTGATAGAATTTCTTGAATAACGTAGAAGAAGTCTCTTTCGTTCAATTCGAATCCATACACTACGAGGGATTTTACCTCCTCAGCACTTCTTTTGCTTCTGTTGTGAGAATCGTCTGACAATGGAGTAGTCTGTTCCAAATACCCATTCACTGCACATAATATCGCCGCACACAAACAAAAATACACAGGTCTCGAAAACACAACCATTTTATTAAATCCATGCACCGGAGACGCGGAGTCCGGTTGAACGCTCTTCAACAACGAGTATTGACTTCCCGCTATGATAAAACAAAACCAAAATGCGTAAATATCCCTGTAGAATCCAAGATTTAGAACCATCGATCCCAAAACAGCAACCATTATCGCGAGGACTATGGATATGAATGTTTCTCTGAATGTCAAGTTACGATCGAAAAGCGCCATGAGCTTCAACCTATCCATAGTAACTTTGACTTCAAAGCATTTAGAAAACTTGAAATTGTAATATGTTTTTGGTTTCGGTTGATTAGCCTTTTCTAAATGATCCAGCAGTCTTGAGAATTTGCTTCTGATGTTGATTTCGACGCTTTCTTCGCCTATGGAAGGCATGAGACTTGGCAAGTTCGCTGAAGTGTTCTCAACTTGCTGCTGGGCCTGTTGCTGTGCTCTCTGCTGGCTCATCAAGAAGTTGATATGCATACTGGGCAGGCCCATCCTCGACTGTCTTTCGGCCTCAATTTGTTCTAGTAATCTATCAGTCACATAAGCAACTGGAGACCTTGGCTGGTCTGCGTGAGAAGCAGTTCCTCCGTCGAAGACGTAAAAGCGCTTATTCGCATTGTTAGTATTTATCGCAACCACTGTGGATATATTATTGTTGCTGGATAGAAGTGGGTTGTTGCTTCCCTGGTTCGAAGAGCTTTGGTCTATGCTGTCGCCGCGTTTTTTTGCTATACTCTCGCTATTTCCAGCTTCCGATTCTAGAGAACCACAACTGCCTTCCCCAGCAGTTTCCTGGGAGTTGTCCGGATTTTCGATGGGTTTCACCCTATTTAGTCTGACATTGTCCTCTTTCTCTGGTAATGGTATAGGTTGAGCTTGCGCCCGACCTGAACTGTTTTTGTCAAATGTGTATGACATCCAGTTGCCATATTCGTCCATGAAACAATGTATCGCTCCATCAGTCGTGTCATCAAAAGATGTCGCGAAATGTACACTGGTGGAATTATTCGGGTTTTCAGCACTTGAGGGTTTGTCTTTTTTATCGGGATTGTTTTGTGGGTTATTACGCTGTCTCGTTGAGCGCTTGATTTTCCGCACGCGGTTCCTGTGGTTTCTGTCCATTAGAGGTCTCAGTCTTGTTCCTTCCTCTGCGTGTGGCGCGGGCTCCGCAGCAGGATTATCAGGTACACAGCAAGGCATAAAATCTACTCTAGAGTTAAGGAATGCAGCCAATAATGGCATTGAAGTGGGAAGTAGAGTATTTGTGGACGTCTGTGCCACTTCTTCGATGGATCTTTTTCTCGTCTTGTGAGAATTCTCCCTTTCACATCGAATGCTTTGCCTGTGACTTCGTGGTCTTTCCTCTCGATTCGGAGGAGGCATAACTACGGTGTTAGCATTAGTAGCCGCGAACAAACATTCAAGTCCTTGTACCAAAGCAGCCTGAGCTTCAACAGCATCCAGAAGGATTCTATCATCTTCTATATTTTCATCTTTTTCTTTTTTAGAATCCTTAGAATCTCTCTTCTTGTTCTCCTTCTGGGATGAAGCTCGTGAACGCGCTAAGTTTTTTATCTGCTTTGGTATAGCGCCCAAGTTTTTTGGAACGTTGGAAGACGATTCACCTAAAGCATTGGCAAGTTTTTGACATAGCACCTCGTCATTGGGCAGGGAGCAAGCCTCCGCTTCCTTGCTGGTCGATGCTATAGGTTGCGGCGCTTCTTCAAAAAGCCAATCTAAGCTGTATACACTTCTTTCATCAGCACTTTTACTGTCACAAGTTAATTGCGACTCCTCAGTCTCTGGCGCGTTATTTTTATCTTCCTTACTGTCTTCTTGTCCCCTGTCTATGTTAGAATCACTACTAGTGCTAGAATTAGATATATCATGGTCCCAGAGTTTCTTTTCAGCAATTTTCCTAACTTCTGGCCTTTTCTCTGATTGGTCTGGATTTTCATTTGATTCTAAACTAGATTTTTCTATAAGTAAATCTTTCGAACTTGCACTTGCTTTATCAAAATAATCTGCGTTTGGATTAAATTTACATTCACATGGATTATTCGGACGTTCAGGACGCTTACTGTCGTATTGTGGCTCACTTTTTATAACTTTTTTCAGTCTTACTGGTTTAGATTTGTCATTTGGACAGTCGGGATTATGTTTAGAACTAGGGTGGCGATCACAACATTGCTTTTTACAATCGCTTTGGTTTTTGGTGCGAACGACTCTTACGTCTGCAGACCGGTCAAGCAATGGCGACCTAGAGCCATTGTTTTCAAAATCTGAATCGCTGGAGCGCATCGCGGGCGATTGTTCCGCATCCCAGTCAAATCCACGAAACTGTTTCTCATCGTCGTAGTCACTATAACTTTCTCCACTAGAATCTAAATCTGTCTCTTTCTGGGAAGTCTGCATTTCATCAGATATTTCTGCAATTGGATATACTATCTCCGAACCGTAAGTCAGATATGGGTAGCTACAACCCTCGCCCGATTCGTTTTTGGGATATAGGTTCAAATGTGGACCGCGGGTCAAACATTTACTAGGAGGAGGGATTACCGCGCTTTTGGGATTTTTCAACATTTGACCGCCTATTGTTTCCGCACTGTTGGGATGAGGAGAGAGATTGGACACACTGGGAGGTGGACACCCAATTTCTAATGCGGCACTTTTTATCCTTCGAACTCCGGGACTTTTTCCTTTGTTTTTTTCTACTTCCCCACTCGGAGCTTCGGCCTTCACCATCATGTACTCTCCTAATTCGACACTCGCAAAGAAACCGGTGTCGGCGTTGTTGGAATGCCTTCTCATGTGCGACACCAGTTGCGCAGTAGAATTGAGAAGTGGCAGCTGTATTGTAGACATGGTGGAATTTGAATTCCTTCTCATATTGGAGGATTGCGCGGTGGCTAACGCTATAGCTGACTTTGTGCAACTTTCGTCTGGATAATTAGTGTATCTGCGTCTATGCGCAATACGTTTCTTAGGTGACGGTGGCCCCACGCTCGGTTCCGAATTATCCCTCGAGTCGGAACTAAGCTGCCGAGCGAACTTGGACTGGTAAGGCTCACCGGCAGCTTCGTTGGCGTCCAAATACAGCCATTCTTTGAAAAAGTCTCTGTTGCTTGAGCCTCGCCTATGCGCACACTCGTGATACCTCCTGCTGACCTTCGCGAATGGGCCCTCATCTATTAACATATGCACAGGTAAATTGTTATCTACACGAGGATTTTTGGAGTTTTCCTCGACGATTAGTTCGTCGATTCGGTTGCCATGTGTCCTCCTAGTTTTAGTCCTATGATCTCTTTTGTGGCTGGATTTGGACCGGCTTCTGTTCGGTGGACGGGTTTTCGAAGGGCCCGGCATTTCTGACGTTTGTGCGACGCACAAGTCAGATTTGGTGGTGGCCTCAGCTAGCCTGGCGGATGTTGCACTGTCTTCTATGCTTGATTCTGAACTATTTTTACGATGAACATCTACTTTTAGATCTGGAACAAGGAAATGTATTGTTATTTTAGTAGTTGGGTGGATTAATTATAAAAAATAGTGGTTTTTAAAAACCAACCAGTCAGATAGTAAATAAATAATATAGTATAGCAATACCTATCGTACTATTATTTGGCTTGTGGTACTCCAGAGACGTGACCGACTCGTTGTCGCTGCCCGCGGCAGCCGCGCCTCCGAGCCTCAGCATCTGCATCTCCATGCCTTCTTCAGGTCTGGGAAGACGGAAGGAGAAAATACTTTAATATTCCATGGAGTTTTCATTACACAAGTTGTAATGGCAAAGGATGTTCAATCGTATTTAAATGTAGAGAAAATTTCAGGCGATATGATCACTTCTTAGATCATATTCTTAAAGATATTACTGATAGTTCCGTTAACCCCTCGTATATTATGCGTGTTACGACGAGTTCACCACAATAGTCGAGTCGAGCGACGGCGGGGTTTGAGCCCGCGTTCTTCAGATATCAAGTCGGCCAGTCCGACCCTTTCACCGTTCGGCTATCATGGCTTCGTCTATCTATCATTATATTGTTGTTGGATGAAAGTGCTTTGAAGAGTTACTTAGGCTTGATTACCTCTTAGGCTGACGTCGATGACCGACGTCGGCTGCGCGAACGAACAATGAACATACACTATAGTTCTATGAAGCACCGCACTGCAACGCTGTCGTCAACGGTAGATTACATAGAACTATTGTATCAAGCCTTACACCCGTATTCACAAACGATGCTTGCTTAAGTGATGCAGCAAATCGAATACACAGCGTTGAATAGAGCTCTGTGATTGGTTTGAAGTTGTTTCCACGCGATCTTGTGTACTAACGAATTTGTTAGTAACAAAAAAAGTGGCACCATTTTAAAGAATAAACTTTTACCTTTAAATTGATACCAAATTCATTTAAATCACACCTCTATTTAAAAAGATATCGCGGCTGATGTGAAGAAGTAAGGAAAAAGACATGTATCAACTGTTTGATACGTCGCGAGTTGCGGCCCATTTACCCCCTATAAAAGCACGTGTTTTCAGATTTTTGCTTTCACACGTTGATCCATACACATCTCAGCTTCTTTTGACACTTTAGCTGGGATTCTACACCTTCAGAAGCAGCACAAATCCTTGCACTATGCAAGAAGGGCTCAGCCAGCGGGCTGTCGCATGTCAGCTCCACATAAGCCAGTCCTGGGTTTCGAAAGTTTTAAGACGCTTTCAGGAGACTAGTGGCTTTATCCCGAGACCAAGTTCTGAACAGTGCCAGTGCACATCGCAGAAGGATGACCGTTTTTTCATGTCAACCTCTCTATGAAATCGTCATTTAACTGGTATCGACGTCTAGCAAGAGCTCAGAAATGTTCGTAGGATAGCTGTTAGCGTGTGGACAGCTCGTCTAAGATATAAGCAATAGAATTTGACTCCAAACAGGCCTGCCACAGGCTCGAAACTGACGGTAGGTCACCGATAAGCAAACTTTCAATTTGCTCGTACACATCTCGATGGGAAGTCGAGCAATTCTATAGCTTATATCTTAGACGAGCTGTCCACACGCTAACAGCTATCCTACGAACATTTCTGAGCTCTTGCTGGACGTCGATACCACTCAAATGATGATTTCATAGAGAGGTTGACATGAAAAAACGGTCATCCCTCTGCGATATGCACCGGCGCTGTTCAGAACTTGGTCTCGGGATAAAGCCACCAGTCTCCCGAAAGCGTCTTAAAACTTTCGAAACCCAGGACTGGCTTATGTGGAGCTGACGTGCGACAGCCCGCTGGCTGAGCCCTTCTTGCAATAGTGCAACGATTTGTGCTGCTTCTGAAGGTGTAGAATCCCAGGTAAAGTGTCAAAAAAGCGGAGATGTGTATGGATCAACGTGTGAAAGCAAAAATCCGAAAACTCGTGTTTTTGTAGGGGGTAAGTAGGCCGCAACTCGCGACGTATAAAACAGTTGATACATGTCTTTTTCCTTACTTCTTCACATCAGCCGGGATATCTTTTTAAATACCGGTGTGATTTAAATGAATTTGATATCAATTTAAAGGTAAAAGTTTAATCTTTAAAATGGTGCCACTTTTTTTGTTACTTACAAATTCGTTAGTACACAAGATCGCGTGGAAACAACTTCATGTAAGTGATTCCATAGTTTTGCTCGCGAGTGTATATCAGTGGTTTTTAACCGGTGGTCCGCGGACCACTGGTGGACCCTGGAGGCATTCCAAGTGGTCCTCGAAGAGCACTTGCACGCCCAAAACCACTTTTAACAGATTTTTGCAGTCAAACTGGTTTACTTTTGACCGATTATGATTATGATGTGGTCCCTGACAAGACAGAAATTTGGTAAAATGGTCCCTCATGACCTAAAGGTTAAGAACCACTGATCTATATTATGCGTAAGTAGTTCAACTCACACTGTATTGTTCGTAGATGCGTCTCCGCTGGGCTGGATGACGATGCACTCGCTAGTGTCGTACATATGGTGCAGGCCGTGGTTGAGGAGCTTCAGACACGTGAACAGCACCGCCACCAGCGCACAGTAGATTATCCAACCTAGACTCGCTGGAGGGAAGTACTGGAAGAAACAAATAATTACTATAACTTTATATTTCACAGTTTTAGACGATTATCACACTGCACCGCGCCGAATCCCGCGCGCAGACGCATTGTCAGTGTGTTGTGCATACAATGATTAAATCTGTCGTCCCGCGTACCGCGGCGGAGCGCGGTGCAGTGTGATAATCGCCTTAATTTAATTATTTTTTAATTAATCTGCATGTCCTTTGTTTGTAGTATGTGGTCCACTTGGGGAATAAAGCGTTGTGGGAAGAAGCAACAAATAAAATTAATTCTAATAAGAAATATTTTTCTCTGTATTTGTCATGTTGTGTGAATCATAACAAGTTGGATTTTATGTATTTATCCTGTAAATAGAGATATTTTAGAGTTCCTTATGATAGAGTTCCTCATATTATAATTACTATTGTTATTTATTTGAAAAGCTGACAGCAGCATAGTTAATTACTGTGCTGCTTGACAGCAGAAATTTATTTTAATTCTTTTAATGCTGGCATTTGTTTTGATTAATTGTTTTTTTTATTATCATTTTAAAAAATAAAGAAAATCTAAAACAAAAGTTTTCTATCACAACAACTCATTAATATGGAATATCTTGTTTTTAATTTGCAGAAACTTGGAATAAAGTAATAAGAATCATACTGGAAATTGCATTTCATTTACAAACTCAAAATAATGTTGTCATAATTTTATTTTAAGATAAGTTAATGAACCATGCTTCATTTTAGTAAACAATACATTATTAAGTTCAATGTACAGACAACATCTGGCTATACCTTTCATTGCAAAATCAACTCTATATCAACCAGATAAGATACCACATTGTTTAGTACATTGTCCCATTGTCTTTCAAGATTGTACGATCTAATCTCACAAAAAAACAATCATACTAGAAACACAAATCAGCATACAATTATCTTTAATAGATCAGAATGAAAACAGCCTTCATAAATAAAGGCAAAGAGATTTTATGAATGTCATACATTTAGTAGGCCATCAAACTCATTCAAAATAATGTGGCAATGCTATTTTTGACAAAAAATGTTCGGACTTCAAAGCAAAGAAAGGAATGTTTACTAAATATTGCTTATTTTGAAGAAATCATAAACTGTGTTAAAGGTTTAATGATGATTTAATGCTTTGTTTACCATAAGATGGAATTAGGATTTATGGCTACTAAATGACATAATTTTCTTATAGAAATTGATCTGTTTGTACAGGACTGGATATTTTCTAGGTGATAATAAAATTAAAAAATGCATTTATGTTGTTTCATGCATCTATTGACTGTTACCCAAGTACAAGTATTGTGTAGTTAAGAACTAGATGGTATTGTATAAAATATCCAAGCATATTTATTAAGGCAGCAAGGGAGTTATACTTGCTAAAGATTAAAATTAGGAGAATGAATCATTTATAATTTTCATATTAAACATTTTATTAATTTAGTGACTGTTGCGAATTAATGTGTAATACAATACAACAAATAAACCTTTAATCTGCAAGTGGTAGTTGTGTAGACAACCAAAGTAGGGTAAACCGTATAGCTATTGCCCACTTAAAGATTTCAAACACATTGAGATGAAAAATTAAAGAAAGTATTTTAATTATCGACCATTTATGACTTTTTTCTTATAACTCAATAAACTGTTAAACAGAATATTAACAGTTTTTAGTTAAAACTTACGTAACTTAGAAAATATTGATATAAATTTAAAATCCTCCAAAAAGTACAGTCATTGCCCATTACTTACACTAATTGCCCACATCAAAGCACAGTAATTGCCCAGTATCTTAAAACAAAATAATCAATTTTAAAATGACAAAATAGGCTTTAAAAAAACAAAACAAAACATTAAACTTAAATTCTAGTAAGCTTCGATCGCTTTTTGCAAATTTTCTATGCTATATTGAACTTTTGGAGTCTTTGGCATACTGAAAATGAAACATTAAAAGCCATTTTAATATTTATGCCTGTAAATTGCAAAACAAGTCTAGCAATGAGCAACTTAAACAGTGCTACTGCATGGTGGCAACACTCTAATAATAATTGCCCTGGGCAATAACTATACATTAACATATGGCAATAACTGAAATGATGGTGGGCAATAACTAAAAATATACAGATTTACGTGCAGTGATTACCCACCGTTAAAATGACCGTTAGAAATCAAATTTTATCAGTTATTTTCATTGATAATGGAGAAAACACTTATAATTTCATCATGACTATACACCATTAGTTGAATATTAAATAACTTGCAAAAAAAATTTAACCTCTAAGCAAGTAATTCCTTAGTAAAATTGTTAAAGTCTTTACCTGTTTGAGTAACATTTTCACCCGTCTTGAGAAAATCCGCCATAACTGTTTTTTTTTTAGTGTTTCCTATTCTAGATTTTAAATCAACTGTACATTGATCTCGGAGCCATCTACTTAGTAAATTCAAATCTAACTGGAGTAATTCAAAGTCAGCACCTGACAATATTATTCTTAAAGTGGGCAATTACTACCAGTGGGCAATCACTCTCTGGTTTACCCTACTATTAAATTAAAAAACGACTATTCTACATTATTCATCAACAAGTATATTTGATCAGTAGTGTTTGCAAATCACTGTATGAAAATCATAGAAAAATGAGTTCACTACCAGTAATTTTGATAATGTCATCAAATTATTTAAACACATGTAAATGATCAAAATATGATTTTCAGATTTGATCTGCATGAAAATAGTGCAATCTGAGACATGTCACACTTTGATATCTATTTGGTGTCGACTGAATGAAACAATAACAACATGTAACATGTTGACCTGATTTTGCAAATTAGTACATAACCTAACATTGCTTGAGTTCTTTTACTTCGTACCCTCAGCCTACTTACCAGATATACTGAGAAAGGTAGACATAGCAGGAAGAGCCAAATATACAAGTGAACTGTGTTGCAAAACAAATTTTGATGCGGATCATAGAACCATCCTCCTGTCAGAGATGCCCAAACACCTTGGCGTAATATCTCTAATGTCTGCGAACCCATCTTATGCGCTATGTCCACATTTCCGCACTCAATTCACTGTCCACCCACTTAACACACTCAACAACACTCTGGTTATCATGATCTCATTACAAATAAGTCTGCAAACCCTTCGTCTTTCCTGCCATTTTGTATGACAAATACGTTGTGTAGGCGAAAACAGACTCTATAGGCATTGATTACTAATCGTTCACACTATCATAATACTAAGTTTAGACTTTTGTATGAACGTAAATGGTTATTTCTAAAAAAGCATTGGCTAAATAATGTTTCGTGAAACAGGAAAAAAGCAAAATTTAGCACTGCAACAACTTGCTTCCAATTCATTTGACAGCACTACACTGGGCTGCCAGAAATTATAAATAGTTGTTTTTAGTAGTTTTTGGCTAGAATATTATCAATTTCCTGGTTAGCTCAACGAGACACTATAGCTCAATTGAGCTCAATAAAATTGTGTGACATCATTAGTCCCAGAGATAAGAAACACAAAAGTTTATTTTATTCGTGTCATTAACTTTGACAGCAGTAGACGTCTCAAAAAAGTGTTAAAAAGTTTTGAATTTTTTATAATTGAGAAAACTTGGACATTAAACTGAAATGGCTGATATTGAGAAACTATTAAAGCAAGCAGCAATGCAAATTGGTGCGGGAGGAAGTGCAGGATTTATAGAAGTGTGTATAATGCATCCATTAGACCTTGTGAAGACCCGGCTACAACTCCAGGCAACAAAAACTTCGTCCAAACATTCCGATCCTCATTATTACACTGGAATCGTGGATTGTATGAAGAAAATGTACAAATACGAAGGTGTGACATCATTCTGGAAAGGAATTCTGCCTCCCATCCTCGCTGAGACACCAAAACGCGCTGTGAAATTCTTGACCTTCGAACAATATAAAAGGTTTTTTATGTTTGGCTCCAGTACACCAACTCCTTTAGTGAGATTTTTATTTTCGTTTATTTCGCTTTAAAATTTATTTTTACTTATTTATTTGTTTCACTACCTATTCATTACATTAATATCTTGATAAAATATGTACATTGATTCAGTGCATGCATTGCATTGCATAGTCATTAACTGGGTAATTTAAGTCTATTTAATTACTAAAACGACAACCACGTTATTAGGTACTTAATCACTTTATTGATAACGTCGCCTTGTCGGAATTTGATGGTAACAAATTGGCTTATTTGCAATAGTAACAAATTGGCTTATTTGCAAATCAGCAGACAGTATTACCAATTTGGCTTGAAATTCGTCACCTGTTCAAACCACAAAGTAAATAATTAGCGTAACAAGGCATTTTGCTGTATGTTATGGTTTTTTTTAGCTATCTTTTTTTTTACTCATCACTACCACCGACTACCGAGATCCCGCCGTAAAGGACGTAGCCTGCCTACCTACTCGTTTATGGTAGCTTGATGCGATTAATATATTTTATTACCTAAAACACATTTTTTTTCTGTTTACATTAAAGCCCATTTAATATGGAATTAAGTATGTATTTGTTTTCAGTGATACTTAGTTAATTAGGATTAACATACCTAATGATAATATTCATGCTTTCACTTTCCACGAAACTTATTTATTAGCAAATGATGGTGTATAGCAGTGTTTTTCAACCTGTGGGTCGCGACCCCCTGGGGAACTGCCTCAGTATAAAAAAAACAATAAAGTTTTAAAGATATACTTATCCGAAATCTAATTATGCAAATACATACCTAAATGTTGTATGGATTGAAAAATTTGGTCCCTACAACATCTATGAAACCTTAAAAAATTCTCGAAAAAAAAAGTGAATGGTCCCGAGTCGCAAAATATTTTTTAATTTTTCAGTGATATGAAAAAGGTTGAAAACCTCTGGTGTACAGAATATTGATGATTTTTCGGTTCTAAATCGTTCTCGTCACTTGAATTATGTAAACTCATTAAAAACTAATTAATAGTAAGTAATAATGTTGTCAGAAAATCGAAAGGTGGCTTTATCTTTGTTTTACTAATTTTTTTTAATTAATTTATACCGCTAGCACAAACTACAAAGCAAATAGTTTTTAAAGGTGCTTAATGTTGAATTTCAGACGTTTGCTCTAGCTGGCCTGGGAGCAGGAATCACTGAAGCCATTTTGGTAAACCCTTTTGAGGTGGTCAAGGTTACTTTACAGTCTAACAGAGCCTTAGCCACCGAAATACCAAGCACTTGGTCTGTTACGAGACAAATAGTCCGAGAAAATGGTCTCGGATTCAGAGGGCTAAACAAGGGACTTACGGCTACAATCGCAAGAAATGGAGTTTTCAACATGGTGTACTTCGGATTTTATCATAGCGTCAAAGGATACATTCCAGAAAATCAAGTAAGTAATCATCAGCATTCAGTGTTCAACCTTTATTTTGAGCTCTGAAGAAGAGTAATAGCTTTTAGTAAATAAATTTTACGTAACAACTTTATTTATCGCGCTTCTCTCGAGAATAGTGTTTATTCCCGAGATAAGATAAGTGCATGAAAAATTGTGATACCATTCCAAAATAATAATATTTAGAAACAGAATTACAATAACTGATGCAGTTTCTATTAAAAACAAATTAAAAATTTCGTAAAACCATAAAGATACATTTTTGTGAAACTAATAATGTCTTGGCTAGAATAATTTTGTATAACTTATCTATTTTATCTGAGTAGAGACAGCCCAATTCAAATCAAATAAACATAAATATAATTTTAACAAGCATTTGTTATCTTATTTGCTAGAGATAGTTTGTGTAACTAACAGTTTTATCATGTGACTAGCTGTACCCGCGGCTTCGTACGCGTGAAAACCCGTTTTCGCAACATTTTTCATTGTTGCTCTGCGTCTATTACTCATAGCGTGATGGTATATAGCCTATTATAGCCTTTCGCCCTAAATGGGCTTTCTAACACCGAAAGAATTTTTCAAATCGAACCAGTACTTCCTGAGATTGGCGCGTTCAAATAAACAAACAAACAAACTCTTCAGCTTTATAATATTAGTATAGATTATAATCATAGGTACTTCTCTTAGTTTTATAGCATTTAGTAGTTGCTAGCTTCTTGTCTAATAAAAAATAAACTAGGCTTTTCCCACGGCATAGTCAAGCGATCCGCGCATACTTAGGTATTTTGTTGGCACAGAAAGACAATTTCAAGTAACCAACTTCGCTGAGTAAATCGAGATATGAATTTGAACAAACTAACGTGCTTTATTTTGTGTGCTCTACTCTACTGGCATCGAGTTTTCGAACAAGATCAAACCTTTCGTGTTTTGTGTGTGCACTTCTGTAACTTTTCTTTCTAAAAATCAGTTCTTTTGCTTTTATTTTATTACAGGATCCACTTCTAGAGTTTGGCCGAAAGGTAGCAATTGGTTTCACATCAGGAGTTCTTGGTTCCTGTGTAAACATACCATTTGATGTGGCAAAAAGTCGTATACAAGGACCACAGCCAACTCCGGGTGTCGTTAAATATTCTTCCACGACGGGGGCAATCATTTTAGTTTACAGAGAAGAAGGGTAAGTTATACGAAATACGAGTAGCTTCTTTTTATGTATCTTTAAAACCAGAGCGTTTCTATTTAATTTTATTTATCGAATTTACTCTCGAACAATAACATTTCATAGTAACAGTTTTTTACTACTTGTATTGTCACGTTTACTGACGTGTGTAATTAAAACAACTTTATTAGTTCTTTGAAATCACATCACACAGAAAATAATATAGCATAGGATACAGTATCGTTTAGCCTACCTAAACTTTTGGCTAGCTGCCAGTTTAATGTTACCGGACTTTGCGTCCGTCCGACGTGTATTTTAAACAAGAATTTGGTACACTGTCATTATTTACAAATGTAGGTACATCAATTTGTATATTCCATGTCCCAAATGCACTTCTTAAATAGATGCGACAAAGTTGTGCATACCTACTGAATTGATAATGATAAATATTAACATTTATAACGATACGCTACGTCGTATCTCGTAATGAATAATATAATTTTTGTTTTTGGTGAACTCTTTATTTTCTCTACTCTTTATTACAATAATAATTGATAATTATTATCAATAAAAAGTGTTTGATTGCAATTAAAATAATTTTATCTCACAATAATTGAGCGTTAGCCAAGGAAAATTTTAATTTCCGTGAATCAAAGTAATTTGTTGAGTTTTATTGGATTTACCACCCAACCACGTATCTAATAGGTATACTATTTTTGTTTTCAGTTTTCGTGCTCTTTACAAAGGTCTGTTGCCAAAAGTTCTCCGGCTGGGCCCTGGTGGAGCTATTATGTTAGTTGTATACGATTATGTATACCACTTTTTAGAAAATAAGTTTCAGATTAAATAAATAAGTAATATTAGTCAGTGCACAATCAATGACTGATTAAAGAATTTACAACGTAGTTCTATTTTTTAAAAATCGTTATTTTTTTGTTTGACATTTATTATGCATTTTTAATGTAGAATTAAAACTATTATGAGGACATCTCATGTACTTCACTTACCTAACTTTTAAGTGAAACAAATTCACAATTTAAAAAAATAATGTTGAATGGAAAAAATATTCTATTGATTAGAGTTATTAACACTTGTTTTTAGAATAAGTACCTACCTACTTCAATTTTAATTTCATACGCTGATCTAGTGATCTTGAGGAAGTATTTTTTATCAACCTTTTACAAGCAATACAATATTATTGAAACGGATTTAAAGTCCTCAATATCTCTGTGATAATTATAAAATAGTAGTATAGAATATTATGCCAAATAAAAAATTGTGTTAATTGACCAAATTGTAAAGTATAGAAATGTTATACGAAAATATATTTTTGAACCTATACTCGTTTTAATGTGTTTTATTTGAAATTTTGAGTTTCAGACGGTGATTTTATTAGCATTACCTATCTCGAATGCGATTCATAAAAGTTATAAAGCTGAAAGGTATTCTTTTACTCTTCTGCCAAGTGGCAAAACGTGGCAGTTGTAATTTCGCAATGCCTTCAGTTCGAAGTAATTACTTTTAAAAAACGTCTAAGGGGGCTGTGTGTGTGTCTATTTGAAACTATGTTCATATTATTTATAGGAATGCGACCGGTCAGCTACTTTGGCCTTGTAAATATAATATTATGTTTATTTTTACATTATTTTACGTTACGTATTAATAATGCGCGTAATTTAAAAATATTTAATTTCACTATAAATATTCATAAATTAATAACTTTTCAAGAACGAGCTTGAATTTTTAAGTGTTGTTTGTTCTTCACGTGTAATAAAAAATTCACATTATAAACTTCTTTCAACTAAATTGATTAATACAATATAAGGAAAAAATATTCAGACAACTCACAACAACGCGACTACTATAAACAATAATTGTAGAAAAAATAATATAATCTTGTTTTAGCGTTCGTTAGTAGTTTTTGTAAGCTAGAACTTGCAACATTTTTGAGCTCAAATGTCTGGCCAATTAGTGGAAAGCCAAAGCCTAATAGCTGTTTGTGTCAAGAAAAAAAAAGAGTAGTGTTGTATCAATAACATACATACTTTTTATCGATTGGTAACTGAATAGAAAGGAATAATATTTAGAAACCAAATTATCTTCTTTAATTTTTTTAGCGGAGTTTAATTTTATTAAAATAGTAGCGCATAAATTATAAGTTACATGGGGTGGAGTAATCATACCATCATGTTTTGATAAGTGGAATATCTCTTGTGGGCAAGTGGCAATTTTTGATCGCTCGGAAAATACTTTCACGGAGTGAAGTATTCTCATACAAAAAATGCCACAGCAAGACCTTTCAAAACTACAACGGTCACGTGTTGCGTGCGACTTCTTGCAACTTGTCTAGGTCTTAGGTGGATGAGACGAGAATGGTCTGGCAGACCAGGTCTGCTGCGCCTAGGCTCCTCTGTGGCAGATTTCGATAGTGGCACTATCTTATCGAATCAATACATCACTATCACTGAATGTTGTCTGACGTGACGTGAACTGTCAGTCATTCATTCATGTTTATTAATGTGCCGAGGTTGTATCTCGTTTTATTTGTATTGGTATTGTGTATTGTTTTCCCTGAATCAAGTTGGAACTGTGGCATTATTAATTGTTTACAAAAAGTTACAATTCAAATTAAATTATCTTTACTAAAGGTATGTAACTACTTGCCTCTATAGTGTAACAAACTTTCATCATTTACATTGTAAAATAAAGTTTTGACTAGGATAGATGTTTCATTAGAATCATTCAAGTTTGTTTGTTTTTCTGAAACTAGGTGTGTAATCTTTTGTGTGCCTAATTCAATGTTTTATTAAAAAGTGTGGTTCTAAATTATTCTTATTGGAAATTAAATAACAGAACTGACTTTTCAAAGTTGTGACAAAAACTTAACTACAACTATAATGATATACTACTATTCTTGTGCATTTCAGATTTCATCACTACAAAATGGAGCATATGCAGCAGCCACAGCAAGCAATTCCTCATATTGTTCAGGTGTACCATCAGCCTGTATCCACCACCAAAATTCAGAATCCTCAAATAATACACATATCGCACCCATCTCTGCAGCCATCCCAAGGAAAAGTGACTTACCAGCAGACTATCACATCGAAATCCTTACACATACCGGTTACTCATGTTCCGGAGATCCATATGTCACAAAACCATATCGTTATGTCATGTCAGCAAACGCACTTGCAAAATTTGCAGGCGTTGCAAGCACCGCAGGTAATACAAAACACAGATATGGGTCAACCTTTACATGTGATACTACCGCAAGTGCCGTCAATATTGAAGCAGCATTTGGTGTTGGGTGGAGTCCAACAGCCTTATTATGGACAGTATGAGAATTACCAAGAGGAACAGTGTGTTGTCACTAAGTTAGAACCAGATGTACATTTGCAAATGTTGCCACCAAAACCAGTGGAGTAAGTTCATTTGTATAAATAAACTTTTAAGTTATATTTACAATGAGCTAAAGATATGACTTTTTGCATTTATGCTAAAAATTATAACCCACATTTGTTATATTTTTCAGGTGTAAACCAGATAATAGAGTTGCGACAGAGACAGAGACTGCAAATCGTCCTAAAAGGATCAGAAATCCCAAACCCAATCCAGGTACATGGGCCTGTAATATACGAAAAGTGAAGCATCAAAGAGGCGAAGCATACGTCAGCAGAAGAGGAAAATATGTCCCAGAGAGAAGAGTCAAAAATACAAAGGACTGCCTCAAGTCATGCAAATACAAATGCAGTGAGAGAATCAGTGATATAGACCGAGAACACATATTCAAAGCATTCTACTCTTTAAATGCTAATGAAAAGAAACATTTTTTACTAAACACTACAGAAAGAAACTATATAAAACACAAATCGGATGATGAAAGTCACAGAAGAAAACATTCCTTTAAATATTTCTTCCTAGTTCGAGCAGTTAGACATACTGTATGTAAGAATTTCTATTTAGGTACACTAGCAATATCTCAGAAGCCTGTTTATAATGTGCATCTTGGCAAATCTGAGATGAATATACCCAAGCCTGATGGTAGAGGCTTGTCCGAAGCCAGTGCTCATTCCTTGCCTTCTGAAGTTAAAGACAGAGTGAGAAAGCACATAATGTCTTTCAGTACAGAAAATTCGAAACCTGTCAAACAGTTTTCTAAAAGGAAACAATTTCTTGAGTCTAATTTAAGTATAAAGCAAATGTACACAATGTATTTTAATGATTGCAATAAGGATAATGTTGTGCCTGTAAAAGAGTCTATGTATAGAAAGATATTTAAACAAGAATTTAATTTGCATTTTAGAAAAGTAAAGGCTGATCATCAAGTTTGTTGTAAGTGCAAAGGAGTAATTAAGAAAAAATGCTAAAATATTTATTTGAGAGATTTTATAAAATGGTCACTGTCCATTTAGCGTATTTTTTTTGCCTTGATGCAATTCGGTAATGTTTATTTAACCACTAAAAACTATGTGGCAAAATTTTAGTGATTATTGCTTCAAGTTTTAGTCACCGCCGCACTCTACATGCATGCACACACTTCTTCAATACTCCAAATAATCACATTATTCAGGGCATACCACTTTATTTTAGTACTGAAAACCTTACTTGATTTTAATAGCGTCAGATTTTTTTGAATAGGTAGGTACCCCCATTGTATTGTATTACGCAAAACAATACTAAAGCTTCTTTTTTCCGTTTTTCAAACGATATTGCTACTTCACTCACACATGACACTCGTGTATCCTCTGCCTTTGGCGCAAGTTGCCGTGGAGTTGAACTTGGACAATTTTCCGCATAGTGAACTTGCGCCATTTCGTTTATAAGTTTGCTAGTCAACAAAAGGTCTTCAAAATAATGTAATGGGCAATGCAACTGTCCAAAAATGAAGCACCTAAAATGATCATAATTATGTATGTAGGTAGGTATTATCACATACGAAGTGAATTGAATTGTTTATTTTTATACCAAACTTTGAATACGAATAAATAACGTACGCACACATTGAATGTTTTAATTAACAGTTTCGTGCAGTTGCTCTAATAATTTTAAAATTATGATGTTCCGATTTCCTGTTCATGATTAGTGTCGAGAAGGACTTACATAAGTTCCTGAAAGTTCAAAATTAACAAAGTTTCTTAAACTGTCTCTCGTAACTTGAGCTCGTATAAAGCCGTCAGGCTTGATGACGAAAAATTAAAAAAATCCAGATAGTTATTATGTACTTCCCGAGTTTAATTTAATTTAAGTTTATTCTGTGTGTTTATTTTATTTGGTTAAACTGTTATTGTGACTTTAGTTAGGTTTCCTAAAGTAGGCAGTAGATTTCCTACGTACGTCCTAGTATTATTTAGCATTTACTTTACAATAAATTCAGGTTTGTTCAGCAAACTTCCTTCTAACCATTCGGGTCCGTATCAGCATTATCGCGGTTCGTACTCAAACTTTATGCCTTTGTTAGGATAAGCCTTTTGCTAGTTTATTCTGCTGTTATGCGGGCTGTATCGGAAAGTTCTAATATTAATAGATAATTTTAAAATTAATAATAAATAGATCAATAAAAACTTAAAATTGATTTGGTACCGAATACCTAAATAGGAGAGTAGTAAGATTAATATCTTAGTACAGGGGAGAGGCCTCAGATCATTGATCTGAGGGGGAGGTGAACAATTGTTAAATTTTTGTTCGTTCTTGAAATGAAATTAGCATCGTAAGTTTTTATTTTTTATTTTTACACTGCTTTAGTGGGTAAATAACTTACACTTACATTGTACAAACATTTAACCACGCCACCATTAAGCAAACTTTTTATTTTCATTTTTTTTTGTGATGTCATCAATTGTTTTATCTATCATTTAAAAAATACAATATTGAAGTGGCATCTTTACATACATACATTTTTATTAGTAGGTACTATAATAAAATTATTCTTATTTTATATTGCGTCCTTTTAAAACTATATTTGTTGACAATAATAATATTGCACATTCACAAAACATTAAAATGGAATGTCTTTGGTAGTTAAGTTTCTGGGAGGAGATAACGGCTTCCTTTTTCCGCGAGATTACAATAATATTAAACTGAGATGGGTTAAAAGGAAATACGTCTTTTGTGTAGAATAAAAATTGCAATATCCGACCGACCAAGATTTTTATGAATTCGCTTGGTTCCTTGTCGTTAGGCGTACTAAAGTAAGGTAAACTGGCCGTTTCAGCTTTTTTAGAGACGGAGATTTTTTATTCGAGTCAGATACTGAGTGAACTAGACAAAAAACAAAAGAATCGCTGAAATTCATTCAACTTCATTATTAAAAAGACCGCAGTTTAATAATCTGACTCGATTTGTACACTTTTAACAGGACTATTTTTGCACTTTACACGTCCATCCCAGGGGCCGGTCTCGTCACCGAGGGTTAGTGGATCTTGGCGGGGATCAACACGCAGACCAGGTCCTCGCCAGACTCATTCTTCAGCTCCCATTTGACGTCCACCTTTACTTTCGGGTACGATTTGAGAACTGGCAGCGTCGTCCTGTAGTTCGCTTTCTCGCCAGCCTGTAATGGTTTAGATAATTATATTAATTAGTGAAGTTATTCTCTTCTCATCACCATCATTAATTTGACTTAGGTAGGCTGAATATAGCCATCCCCTAATAATACGTAACTTCTACGCAATCTAACTTAATTTTTAATGAAACTACCCACTTACTTCTTAGTTAATTGGAATTCAAAATTACTTAATTATGCAGTGGCAGGAGTTAAGTAGTGAATGACTCTTATTAAAGAGTAAGCGATTTGGTTTTATCCTCCTCGAACTTTTACAGGAAGTGGGGTGACTTGTGACGTAAGATAGGTAGGTACCTGCCTACTGTTCTACTAGGCAGGTACCTCTAGCAAGAAAAACTTTTGACTTCGAATTGTTTACCGCCATCAACAGATTTAGTATGAATACTTAAACAGCGCCCCTGAACGTGACGTAAAGTGAAATTAGTGTGAAAAATGGTAGCACGAAACTAATTTTGGCAATCGTAATCGTCACGTTATCGTTGAATTCGAAGGCTGGGTATCGATTTTGGTAATTTTGGTCGAATACGCAAACGATTCGAAGACGAAAGTTTTTCGTGCAGGTACAGGCTAGCTTACACGCTAGTCTCGCGGCATTGAACAAAAACACACCAGCATCGCTCCTCTACCGCTGGAACCTACTCAGTTCTTCTCACGCAACCTCAAAAAATAAGTTAGACGTTTCTTCCACGAAGACGCGCCCCACCATTCTTCTGCTAGTGTTTGAGTGTTATCGGTATCGGTACACGCTAAATTATCCATGAGTGCACACGCATACCTACTACAATAATGACGCTCTGATTGCTCTGATCAAACTCCCCACACACCCCGCGCTTCCCTCGACTAAAATTGGCGCGTCTTCGTGGATGGAACGATCTTTTTTACCTACACACCTAGATGATGAGATTAGGGTTCTGGTGGTTTACCTTTAAGGGGCAGGTGAGGCCGTTGTCCTTGCACGCGTCGGGCTGCGGCAGCGGGAACGGCACCGGCAGGTTCATGATGACTCCGTGCACTTCTGTCTCTATGGTTTTTACGTCCAGCGCTGAAAAGTAAAGAGGGCATTGTGAATTTAATGTTTTATTTTATCGATGTAAGGAAAAGTAACTCCACAGCTAAATGTGAACACAATGTCGTCAAATCAATAACCTCCAGAGTTCAGAAAAGGGGTGATTGTAGGTATTCCTCCTGTAGATATATTTTTGATTGTAGCTTTCATTTAAATTTTCCGCAGATAAGTAGGTACGTCTGATACCTCCCACAATAATGTGGTTGAGGTTCTTATAAAATGGATTTGTTATTTTTATAATGCTCCCTCTATGTCCAGTTATACAGAGAGCATCTTTTCTTATCATCTCAATCTCCTCGATCCTATTATGAAATCCTGTTCAGGCTTATCGACTCTCTCTTAGGTATGTTTTGACCGTGCTGAGTGGAATGAATCCACTCGGTCTAGTTTACAAGGACTGTAGGTCTAGGGTAACTTACATGGTGTGAAGTCAATGGTGATGGTAGCGTTAGAGTTTCTCTTGAGGATGCACTCCTTGGCGTCCTCTGCGCACCCGCTCACTCCCACGCTTTCAACGGTAGCCAACTTTGAGCCTAAAAAATTAAAAATAAAAACATTTACATAAAATCCCATTTACAGACGATATAAAAGGCAATCGGACATGGTAAATTGAAGCAATGGCAAAACATTATGCACCACTGCTACCTATGTCCTCGATTTTGATTGACCTTCCGATGATTCACCAAAAGTGACAATAGCGTGTAGGTACTAGAGCTAGAGCCACGTAGTGTACCTACGTGCCAAAGAGCTATGGCATTTTTGTTACATTAGCTAAAGCGTTTCGATGTTCTACAAAAACAACTAAGTATATTATTTATTTATACCACAGTTTAACCCATTGTTAAACTATAGTTAAAGCATAATGAGCTTAGGATGACATCCGGTCAATTTTGTGTGATGGGATTGGCCATTCTCGTTACGAGTACAATGCCACGACTAATTCATTACAACACATGACTAATTTTGTATACTTTTAGAACTTTTTATCGTGGATCCGCTAGCTAATGGATATGTTTGTCTGTTTGCTACTAGCAATCATTCATATTTAATTGTGGTTTATGGTGAAGCAGTATTCTGTATAATATTTATATAAAATACCTAATAAATACTGCGTGCAGACTGCACTGCAGTAAGACTGAAGTAAAGGCATTTAATGCTAAAAACTAGGCATTTGGATTCAATTTAATGTGTGGCTTGTGAAGAAACCATTTCCTTTTTTCCACGCTACCTATGTTGCGAGTAGGTGTAGGTAGGTACTTCAGCATTACATAAACTATAGTGTCTGAAGAATCTATATATATAAAAGAAAGTCGTGTTAGTTACTTCGCTTATAACTCAAGAACGGCTGAACCGATTTAGCTGAAAATTGTCAGGGAGGTAGTTTAGAGCCAGGAAAAGGACATAGGATACTTTTTATCCCGTTCGAAATTAAAAAAAAGTTTGCTTATTTATTGCCATTAAGGCGGAACAAAGTTCGCCGGGTCAGCTAGTAATTGATAAAATAACATTAAAGTGCAGTAAACCTGCAGTTAGAAAAGTTTATGTTTGCAATAGTGACTGGATAATTTGTCATACAATGTATGCAAATGTATTGGGGTGATGCAAACTCCATCCTTTTGGATGTTCCGAAGGTGTCTAAAGAGCAGTAGGTACTTTTTCAGTAAGGAATTAGAGTTCTATTTCTCGAAGTCAAAGCTTCAATTATAACCACTCTAGTTTAAAAATGTGGTCTTTTTTACAATAATCTAACTCTACCTTCTATCAATATTATGATGAGTGTAAAGACAAATTCGCTTTGAAAAATTTGGCTATCCACTGGGAGACACCGGGACATGTGAAAGTACACAGAAGATAAATTACGTCTAGTTTCAGCAATGTAAACGAACCATGCCTCGCTATATCTTTTTGTCCCAAAACGATGAATTTCAGATATTCATTGAAAGCTAAGAGGATGTTTAACTAACCTTATATGCTATTCCTACACAAAACATTTGCTTGCTGGGGGGAATCGTCACAATAAGTAAGGTATAAATAGGTAGAGTCGTTTTTATTTTTCTGTATCACTTTATTATGTCTGGTTCACAATCACATGACAGGCCCGACCTTTCGCCAGGTTCAATGAACATAAACAAATTACATAGGAGGTAATGAATATTGATGTCAGCCTGATTTGCATGATACAAGGCACTGATTGGGTGCACCAGTGACTCATGGAGGTACCTGTGACGCATGGCTTCTAATGAAGATTGTTTTGTTTTGTGTGGACGGAATTTTAATTCATTACAACATTACTTATTTATAAACCCTTCCGGGAAGTAAAAAAAGATTTTCACCCCAGTCGGTGGGAGGCCCAACAAATGTTACTTGAGAAAAAAATATGTCGAACAAAGAAATTGTTTATTTGGAAGTTTATCATAAGTGCTCGTGATTACCTACCTACGTATTTCACCTTTGATTTGCTTTGACATGTGCAGTTAAAATTGCACGATGTACTTAGGTAAAGCATTATCATAATCATTCATTTATGTTGTCGGTCTGTGATAGTGGCATTGTTAATTAGAATTAATGAAACAAATATAATCAGCCTGTGGTTACACTGTTAAAAGATCGTCTACAACCTACATGAATGAGATTTGTGTCATTTATAAAACGAGGCGAAATAATTCATTTGTTCCTAACTTATTATAGTTTGCTCCCTGCGGGATTCTCGCAGCTGGTATACTCGTTTACGTACTTATTAATAAATAAATACGATAAATAGGTATGATCTACCAAAGCCAGCATAAACTGATGATAGAAATATAAAATACCCTAAGGATTAGATTTAATACACATAAATAAACTGAACAAAGAAGCCACAAACTTTGCTATATCTTATACATAACTATCAGTTAGATTAAGATAATAACGTTAAGGCTATAGTGCGATCAATACCTACCATTGTTTTTCCGTCAACATTGCCCTAGATGGAATGCTTATTTCTGTAGGAATTAATAGGATAATCCTATTAGCACGAGAGAATTCGATCAGTGTCTATACGTGGATCTGTGTGCCTACCATGAGTTTACGTTAGGTATTCTCGCTAGCGACTGCGTAAAAAAATGACATTTAAATGTATGACATATTGTGCAGCGCCCCTAGTGGCTACTTTCAAGAAATAAAATCTTCATAGAATTTTTTGACGTATTCGCTAGCGAGCTCACCTAACGTAAACTCATGGTAGGCACACTGAGCTCTTTCCTTTTCTTGAAGGGAGATGAGTAACCTCATTACTATAGCGCAGGGTTTCTCAAACTTCTGGCACCACGTACCCCTGTTAAAATTTCCAGGTGACAGCGTACCCCTAACTCA